CTGGGCGGCGGCGCGGCCCGCGGAGTCGCGAGGAAGCGGCACGCCGAGGCCCGCGGCTGCGGCTGGCGCGGCCGACCGGTCGCCTGGCGCCGCCACGAAGCTGCTGGCGCGCCGCGCCTGCTCCCGACGACGCCCCTCGCACGGCTGCAGCACTCGGGGGCGGTCGACGTCCGAGCTCGAGCGCCGGCGACGGCAGCATTCGGGTGTTGCTAGAAGTGCCCCTGGCCCAAGGTGCCCCCAGGATTTCCAAGGAGCCCCCCACGACCTCCAGAGCACCCCTCGCGAGGCCCAGAGGACCCCAGGGGCTCCAAAATGGAGCGAAAAGCTGGGGACACCTTGGGCCAGGGGCACCTCTAGCAACCCCCGAAGCATCACCACCCGCAGCGCCCGAGGCCGCTCCCGGCAGCTCGGCCCTCCTCTCCCGCGCCGCGCCGCGGCGCGGCCGAGGCGCCCGCGGCGCCCGAGCGGGCGCTGCCGGCCCGGAGCCGCGGGCTCGCGCGAGGCCGCCCCTGCCCGAACCGAATGCACCTGCACCCACCGGTGTGCCGGTGTGCCCACGGGTGTGCGATCGGTGTTCTGGCAACGCGCACAGGTGACGATCGAACAACACGCACCCATACCCATAGGGGGGACGGAGGAGGCTATGGGTGCGCGTTGTCGGATGGGGGTCCCCGCTCGAACGGGAGCTTCCCCCAAGGTCCGACAACTCGCACCCATACCCATAGCCAGTTCCCCTCCTTGCGACCCTCCTATGGGTATGGGTGTGAGTTGTTCGCTCGTCAACAAGGGGGTGGAGGGAGGGGGGAGGGCTTCTTAGGAGGAGGCTGCTTCTCAGAGGGCGCCAGCCTCACATCTGTAGGTCAGGGCCGCGGCTTCTAAGAGGCAGGGGGGCTTCTAAGAAGCCCTCCCCCCTCCCCCCACCCCCCAATCTGCGCGTGGCGGAGTGTTCCCGCGGGCGTGCGACGTCGGAGAGGCCGGTGTGCCCACAGGTGTGCGGTCAGTCCAGGCTGCCGAAGGGGGCGTCTGCGCCAAGTAGGCAATGCTCGGGCGATGCCGAAGCGCGAGGGAAGACGACGAGGAAGAGGGGAGGAGGAGGAGGAAGAGGAGGAGGAGGAGGAAGAGGAGGAGGAGGAGGAGGAGGAGGAGGAGGAAGAGGAAGAGGAAGAGGAGGAGGAGGAGGAGGGGAGGAGGAGGAGGAGGAGGATCGACGCTCGAGCGGCCCGGCGAGCTCACATCGCCCCTCGCTGGAGAAGCAAGAAGTGGCACGAGCAGAAACTGTCGGAGCTCCGCCCAGACTGACTACCTACCAGACCACCCCAACCCAACCCGACGACCCGAATTTCGGGTTGGGGGGGGTAAGGGCCCCACATGTGTTTTTTCGACGCTTCCCGACCCCCCCCCCCACTGGAAATCGAGGGTAAGTCTGAGCCTTCGGGTTGGGTTGGGGTGGTTTGGTGGGTGGTGACAGACCTGCGAAGCCCTGTGCTCACGCCGGTGGCTCCTCCCTCGCCTCCTGCCCACTTCCCCCTGCTTCTTGGAGGGGAGGGGTCACGTGCCGTTGGGGCGTCGAAGATGTTTTCGGCGAGGATGCCAAAACCACTGGCGTCAACAAGGCTCTGGTCACAGATCCGCCCCCTCAAAGGAGCAAAGCGACGCTCCCAGGGTGCCCCAGAACGGCCCCAAGAGGTGCCGAGGAGGCCCCACGGGGCACCCAGCTCCGCGGAGGAGGAGGAGGAGGAGGAAGAGGAGGAGGAGGAGGAGGAGGAGGAAGAGGAGGAGGAGGTGGAGGAGGGGGAGGAGGAGGAGGAGGCGGAGGAGGAGGGGGAGCACCCAGCTCTTGGTGCCAAGGAGGCCCCAAGAGCTCCGCCCAGACCTGCGAAAAACCCTGTGCTCACGCCGGCGGGTTCCCTCCCTCGCCTCCTGCCCGCCGCCGTGGGGACGCACGCCCCTGCTCGCCGCCCCGCGGGGGCGGGCGCGCGAGGTTCGGACCCTCGCCCCCGAAGTCTCGACCCCTTGCCCCGGGGCTGGCGTTTCCAATGCCGAGTCGTCTCCTGAAGGTCCCCGGGCTCGGCGGAAGCCCCAAAACAGCCGAAAACGGCCCAAACCTCGCGTCGTGGTTGTTTCTCGACGCCAGCAGGACCCCGCGGGGGCAGGCACGCGATGTTCGGATCTTCGTCCCCGAAGTCTCGACCCCCTGCCCCAGGGCTGGCGTTTCCATGCCGAGTCGTCTCCTGAAGGTCGGGCGAAGGGGGGGGGGATATAGAGGAAAGAGAACTATGCACATACACCGATTCTCGCCAGGCCCATCCTGAGCCCAGGATCGGTGCATACGCCCTGCTGCCTTGGCCAGGAAGGCATATGCACCGATTCTGGGTCAAGGATGGGCCTTGCCAGGATCGGTGCATGTGCATAGTTCTCTTCGCCCGAGGGATAGCAAAGGGGGAGTTTGAGAATCAGCTCACGTGGCTGATTTTCCCGGCGCCTCCCGGCGCCGGGAGGCGCCCATGTATCGAGGAATGGGCCCCTCGGTGAGGCCGAAACCAGCTGCATGCAGCAAATTTCGTAACCCCCCCTTTCCCAATCCCCCCCTTTCGCCCGACCCGAGTTTCCCGACGGTCCCAGGGCTCGGCGAAAGCCCCAAACCGCCGAAAACGGCCCAAACCTCGCGTCGTGGTTGCTTCTCGACGCCAGCAGGACCCCGCGCCCCGGACAATAAAAAGCCTGCCCCCCTTCCCCTAAACCCTTGAGGGTTAACTTCCTCCGGCCCCAAGTACTTTACATCGGCGGGGGGGGGTCGCGAGGCCGAACTTCATCACTACCGAACTTCATTATCCTCAGGGTGTGGTTATCGGGGACACAGGGTTACGGCCAGACCTAAGACAGAAGGACAGCCTTCAAGAAAATGGGACCCTCCGCCGGCCAAAGCACCCCAAACCATAAGATCACTCGAGGGTACCACCCCAGGATGCACAAGAGCATCCAACAGGCACGAAGGAAATCAGGACCCCCTCTCAGAACCGGCCTCGATCTGATACCTCGGTGCGACCGCAACGTGGACCCCAGAAGCCTCGATCCACTCCAAGGGACCGGCTGCCTTCCGTCCCGAGGCGTTCCTTGACGGTCCCGCGGCCCGCGAGAGGGCGCCCCCCCGCGAGGCCGAGAGCAGCCAGAAGCCTCCCGTCGTGATCCTCTTCGCGGCCCGAGGGGGCCCCGGGGGGTCGAGGCCCCGATCTGCTGGCCCTGGTCCGACCGCACCGTCGGGCCGCCGAAAGAAGGCACGCTGAATCAAGGAACGAGGCCCCTCCTCCCCATGAGTTGCACTCCGACCTCCCATGGGAAACCTCACGAAAGCCTGAGGCAAGGTGCAGAACAGTCAGTTTGAGGGATGGAAAAACGACCCTACCCTGGGTTACAAGTGCGTGGTCTGTAAACCTCCTGGGAACCCCCAAAGCCTGGAGCCGCCAGGACGCGGCACATGACGCAGGGTTTACCCTGTCAGCCCACAGGAGTTTCAGCGCACAGCGCCTCGTAAACAAGGGTAGGGGCGTTTTTGTATGCCCTTGAGTCAGGGAACACCGAGCCCCTCCCCAACGACAAGGGTCCCTTCTTCAGCGCCCCGACCGTGCCTGGAATCGCCTCGCCTGCCCCTGGCGGCGGGCGCAGGGCCCCCGCTCGGCATCTGCAGGGGCCAGCGGGTGCGCGGAGGCACTTGACTTAAGTCGGGCCTGTCCCTCTACAGGGGTAATAGTCAGAAATAGTCCAAAAAAAAGTCTGGGGACTATCTTTTGAATATGTTTGACCATTTCGGAATATTTCTTGAGCATTTTTTACTTATCGTCGAAAATCCCCCTGTACGGGGACACGCCCGACTTGACACACGACACGAGCATCCAACAGACGCCAAGAACAGCAGGGCACCGCCCCCGAACCGACCCCGATCTTGCCCAGACATCCGGCGTCTCGACTTTTTCGACGCGTGAGCCCCCCGGACCTCTCGACCGCTTCCCCGCAGCGGGCTCCTCAGCCCGAGCCGTCTCTCGACTGCCCCGAGGCCCGGCAAAGGGCCCCGAGAGGCCGACAACTAGGAAAAACTTCCTCCTCCTCCTCCTCCTCCTCCTCCCTCCTCCTCCTCCTCCTCCTCCTCCTCCTCCTCCCCCTCCCCCTCCCCCTCCTCCTCCTCCACAATTACACAATATGAAAATACTCTCCCACTTCCCCTGATGGCGTCCCGAAGATATCCGACACCCCCCCGCGTATTGTTTTTTTACACACAAGATTCCCGGGAAACGGGTTCTCGCTTGTGTTTTGTTCAAAATGCTGCTCTCGCTGAGGCGCCGGCCTCATTCCTGCTCCCGAATCGTTCCGAATCGTGCTCCCGCTGCAGCGTGGGCCTCATTTTCGGATCGGGGTTTGGCTTCCGTCGTTCAGGATGGCGTTCTCGCCCCGGCGCGGGCCTCTTTCTCGCGCGCCCATCCGCCCGCCACCACCGCGCCGCACCACCACCACCACCACCACCACCACCAGCACCACCATCACCACCACCACCACAACCACCACCACCACCACCACCACCACCACCACCACAACCACACACGCACGCACGCACGCGCACCACCACCCACTACGCACGCGCGCGCGGAGCCACAGTCCGCTACGACACGCGTCCGCGGATAGAGAAAATCAGCGCCATGGTAAGGGATGGGAGGGAGGGGTAGGACGTCAGATATGACGCGAGCGCACCTAGCTTGTCCCCCTCCCCCTCCCCCTCCCCCCTCCCCCTCCCCCTCCTCCCCCCTCCCCCTCCCCCCCCTCCTCCTCCTCCTCCTCCTCCTCCTCCTCCTCCTCCTCCTCCTCCTCCTCCTCCTCCTCCTCCTCTGGATGTCTGGGCACACCCCGGTCCGACCGTCTCTGGGGCCACCGTGCCTGCCTCCTCTGCGGCGTGCGCAGGGCCCCCGCTCGGCCTCCGCAGGGGGCAGCAGGGGGGTGCGCAGGGGCGCAGCCTCGCTCTCCGTCGCGCGGCTGCTGGTCGCGAGGCAGTAGGACGACGTGGTCGTCATGAGCCCGTCGGCTTCGGAGCCCAGGGGCTCCACGGCGCCAGAGCCCAGGGGCTCCACGGCACCTCCCCTTCCAGACACGATGGCGTCATGATGGCGTCGTTGAAGGATCTGGACGGGCGGTTTTTCAATATTTTCGGGCCTTGGGGGCCCTCGCCGGGCCCCGGGATTGTCAAAAAACGACGCAGGATGAAAAGCCAGTCCTGGGGAAAGGGTCGGGGATTCCCGGGTCGCCGCATTGAAAAAATCAAGACGTCGCATGTTACAAGCTTCCCTTTAGCAAACCTCCTTTTAGTGGAAGCGGTCTGGGACCGAAACCAACGGACCTGGACCCGCGAAAATGACGGCCGCGACGCCCTCTCGCGAACCGAAAACGGCCAATCCGTTACTCGACGTGTCAGCCGAATGTTTGGGCTTGGCGGCGCGCACAACGGGGTAGGGGAGGGGGGGAGCTTCTTAGAACGAGGCTGCTTCTCAGAAGCTTCCCCCTGGCCCCCTGCCCCCCTGCCCCCCCGCGCGTGGCCGATCCTCTCCTCTCCGGGTTGGGTTCCCTCCTGATTCTTATCAAACTCTGGCAGGCGAACTCATGCCTGCATGCGGGAGGCGACGGGCGTGTGGGGTCGCTGGGCGTGCGTAACAAGTGCACGTTGGCACTTTGCGTGCGAATGCGATCGAGCAGGCCTGGAAGAGTTTAGCGTGGTCGAGTTGTGTATGATCGTTCTGGGCATGCATCAACGACTTGAAGGCACTGGTGAATCACAGGGGACCCAACACAAGGGCGATTCAGGCGCTCTAGGGCTGGGCGAAACGCGAACAAAATCGCGCACTCGCGCCGCCCCCCCCCCACCCAGGCAGAAGTGAAAAACAAAACGGGACGGGGAACGAGTAACCGCGAACCGCGAAACGCGAATCGTTTCGCGCCTTCGCGAGCGCCCATGTCTCCACGGGAGGAACAGCTGCACGTCTGACACACCGCCCGCGGCCATGCCCCCCTTCGCGCCCGGGATCGGCGCCCGCGCGCCCCCACGGCCCGGCTGGAGTGGCGGGGGGGAGGGCGGAGGGAAGGGGCAGGAGGGATGGGGGGCGCAGAACGGAAGGGAGGGGAAGGGAACACGGGTGGAGGCGGGGGCGAAAAAGATAGGAGAAGCATCTCAGCATTGGTGCTGGGACCCACACTTATGCGACGAGTAGACAGACCCTTTGCCAGCCCAGGTGATTCCTCGACACTCCTCTCGATATGCGCTCCGGTGCGATCTGCGCTGCGCGCACAGCTTGAACTCTTGCAACTTGGATTGCATGACTGGCAATGCCGGCCCAGGCGCGCTCGCGAACACCCGCGCCCGCGAAACGGCCCTTCAGTGACCACGCCGCCATCGGAGCCCTGTCCCCGATCGACTGCTTCGCAACCTCCGCGCCCTCCGCAACCTCCGCCCCTGCCCCATCTTCCGGGGGCCCCGAGGCAAGGGGGGCCCGAGCGCACTGCTCTCGTCGGAGGCGGCAGCACGGAGGGAGTCACTATGCACGCGCACGCTGGCCAGCGCAGCCACTCCGCGGAGACCGCGCCCCTCGCGGGACCGCCGAGCGTCACCGAACAGATAACTGGACGCCACTTCCTGCTCCCCCTTGGGATCCACCGAGAAAACAGCGACCGCCGCAACCGCTTCATGACTTCCAGAACGCCAGAGATCCATGCCATAGTTTTACGAAGCGAATACCACGCACGTTCAACTTCCGAGCCCCCGACGAAACCAGCACGAGCCTCAAATTCTCGAAATAATACCTTACTGCGGGCTTCTGACGGGGCAACGACGCTGGCCCCCATGGAGCAGAAGGCGGCCTCCTCGGGACTCGACGCATCCAGCGCACCGGCACGCCTCGCGTCAACGAGCGCACCATCAGCATCTGCTCTCAGCGCCCCACGAGTCGCCCTCAGGCGAACGCCCTGGAAACTAACGGCCACACATTTTCACCAACTCCTGCACGGCGCGGGCGCTGGTCGGGCAATCACCCTAGCGCCTCTCGGATTCCAGCCGCGTCTCGTAAAGCTAAGTTCTGGGGCCGTACGCGCAGGGACTGCATCTCCGCAGCGACGGCTCTGTCCTGGCAATCCTTTGCGAGCACTCGGCGCTCTCCCTGGCGCGTACAATTTCGCGCCGAGAGGCGCTCGCTGGCTGACGCCACAAGAACCACCTCCTTGCAAAAACGTCGGCGGATCCTGCTCAACTCGCTCGATGACCGTATGGGCTTCGCCACGAGGGGATTGGGTGGCACGCGGCGCAGGGCGCCGCGCGCAGCAGTTGCCCTGGCCATTGAGGCACCTCCGGCAAATCTTTCGGAACCCGGCGGCCTCTGGACCCCCGCCCCGCGGGAGTCTGCCATGCCAGGCGGGTCCCTCGGCGACTTGTCGCTCGCCCGCCCTATTGCCTCCTCCTGGAAGCGGCTTCCCCGACCTGTCCCTGCCCTTGCCCTCGCCCTCGCCGCGACGCCTCGCCTCGACAGCGCACGGCCCTGCCGCGTGCCGTCGCGGAGCTCGCCAGGCGCCACACCCGCCTGGCCCCCTGACGGGGCCACTCCCAGCATATGACAGGCCCCATGTCCGACCTCCCGACCTGATCTCGTACGTGCATGCCGCCAGGCGGCGGAACACACATCTCCATCGGGTCGCTCGTGCACGGGAACTTCATCGGCACTTCCTCGGAGGCGGAACCCTTTCGCGGCCAAGTCCACGGTGGTCACCATCGCCCCCCCGTCAGCCCACACTGGTGACGACTTACCCCCGCCGCAACTGGAAGAAAGCCAATCCCGCGTCGAGGCGCATCCCTCGGCCCTCATGGATCCGTAGATCTCCGCCGCCGCCGCCGCCGCCCGCTGCATGTCGGGGGGGGGGGGGGGGGGCGGCCCCCCACCGCGCCCCCCAGCTGCCGCCCGCCGCCTCGGCGAGGCCTCTGGACACCAGTGGATCATCCGCCGTGCACCCCCAGGCGGGCGGGCGGGCCTGGGCCAACGCGCCCGCGGCTCGGCCGAGGTCGAGAGCCCGCGGCGCCGACGGGGCGCCGCTGCCGACGCGCCCGCGCCCGCGCAGCAGCTGCACCACCGAGTCCCCGAGATCGCCCCGCTTCCTCACCTCGGCGCTGTGGGCCCAGAACTTCGAGCCCCCGCGCGGGTCGATGGTCGCGCTCCCGCTCAAGGCCATCAGCGCGGCCTTCACGGCCGCCGCACCCTGGCCCGCGGCCGCGCCCGCGGCGCGGCGCGGCGGGCCGGCGCTGGGCCCGAAGCCGCGCCGCCTCCGCCCTTGAGCAGTGACCGACCGTCCCGGCATTTCTACCCAACAGTGTTCTAAGAACCAAAACAATGTACTTAGAACATAAACCCGATGTGTTAAAACAAAACAGTCCCAGCCAGAAATGTTCTAAGAACATTTCGTGGAAACCACAAAAGGTTCTTAGAACACTGTTTAGTAGGCCTACAGGCACGCCAGGACGCTTGGCCACTGCTGGACTCCCAGCCCCGCCCAGCCCGCCAAGCTGGTCAGGGCTGCGGCCCCTGCAATGCGCGCAGGCCGCGCCGCCCGCTCCGCCCATGGAGCCGCCCCTTGGGGCGCCCCCGGAGCAGCGCCTGGGAGAGGGCGGAGGCTGGGGCGGCCCTGCACCAGCGGCGTCGCCGCAAGCGTTCACATGAAGGGCCTGCCCCCCCACAGGGGGATGTGGGGCGAAAAATTGAACATGCCCAAAAAAAATCCCCAAAATGCGCAACGGTAGTCGAAAAATCGTCCCCAGACTATTTTTTGACTTTACCTCGCTTCGGGAGCGGCCAAGAGGGGGGGTGTCCAAGAGGGTGTGTGTGTGTGTGTGTGTGCAAATCATGACTGGCGGCATGTGCGCGGCCCAGCGGGGGGGCCTGGGACGTAATGAAATAAGAAGAGGCGCTATGAAATCTGCGGAGATATCATGGCCGGCGCCATGATATCCACCCCCCCCTAGTCATCACCCCCCTCTTTTCCGCCCCCGATAGCTACTCCCGCATCCAGCGGCGTCACCTCCCGGGAAGCCCGAGGCCCGCACGGCCCCCCGCGCGGCGGCCAGCTCGCCCCCTGGGCGCGCGCACGGTACGCGGCGCCGCCGCTCCGCGGGGGGGGCGCCCGCGGGGCCCACGGGCCCGCCGGCCGAGGCTGGCCGCGGCGGCCGCCCCCGCGAGGCACCCCAGCATCGGCGGTGGACAAACCTCCCTTTCGTTAACCTCCCCTTAGCGAAGGCAGCCTGGGACCGAAACCGACGGACCTGGACCCGCAAAAAGGACGGCCGCGACGCCCTCTCGCGAACCGGACACGGCCAATTCCATAATCGACGCGTCAGGGTAGGAGGTCTGCCCACCCCCGATGCATGAGCGCACGCGCGCAACCGGAGCCGCCCACCATGAACCACCCGCACACGGTGAAGACCCAGTCCGTAGGCTCCGAGCGCCCCCTCGCGCCCCACGGCGGGGCGCCCCGACAGCAGCGCCCAGCTCAGGGGCGCTGCGCCGCGTCTGGAACGCCCTGGGCGACGCCGGCGCACACCGCGCTCCGGATGCCCGCCGCCGTGCGCGCCCGCAGGCGGCGGGCGCCAGGAGCGCGAGCAGCGCGAGGGGGGGCCTCCTCGGGCCCAGGGCGCCGTGGCGAGAGGCCGAGGCTGCAGCGAGGTTGAAGGGGCCCCAGGACACACAAATAAATACACACAAACAAAAATGCTCCCCATACTTTCCCACATGTTCTGGGTTTTCTGTCTCCCCCCCCACTTCCCATATCTTCCCAGATTTTCCTGGGAGTCGACGATGAATTGTGTCCGTGTGTTTCTTTCCCTCCTGAGAGGGAAGTCGCAGACGCCGGCGCGGTCGAGCACGCGCGTGCGACGACACGGGTCTGGCCCCACCCTGCCTGCCCCGACGCGCCCACGAAAACTGCGGCTCACGAGCTCAGCAGACCGTGGGGAAGCGGAGGGCTTGGGACGCCCGACGTGGGCACGGGAACAACGGGCACGATGCCCAGCAACAAATGCTGCCCAACATCGACGGCGGCCGCGGTTGGGCAGGCGGCCTTCTGTCTCACGTGGGCAACGCCGGCGCCAGCGCGAACAGCGAGTCCTGGTCAAGATGATCAGGAACTGCCGTTGAGCGTCGCGCCCGTTCTTTTCACGCCCAATTTGCTCGCGCCGAAGCGGGGTGGAGGAGGCGGGCCGAGGGGGAGGGGGGGTGGAAGCAGGGGGGAGAGAAAAGGGTGGAAGGGCAAGTGGGGAGGAGGGAGCATCCAGTATCGATGTAGTCGACGTAGTCGAGGAAACAAAAGTACCGGCGACTTTGCTGCTCAGCTTCGCTAAGGAGCTTCGGCCACTCCCCCTTCCCCAAGAGATCGAGGCACTCACCTCGACGCGAGGGAATACGGAAATCGCACGGCTTCAGAGAGGTCCTCGATCCTGCTGGGGGCCGCCCCGATCACAACCCGTACAGATGGGCCATCGGGCCCCTGTGAACAACGAATGGGCGATTTTACCTTGATGAGATGATGGGATAGGGATAGGGATATGTTCGATAGGGATATGTTCGAGGCTGGTAACGATTGGGGGTCGATGAACGCCCCCCCCTCAGCCTGGAAAGGGGGCTCCTCGGCGATTCAAGCAGACAAGTTCCTCGACGATCTGTTTATGCAATGGCTCTTCGATTCAAGCTGACACTTCTACAGAAAGTGAACTGGTGTTTAGATCCTGCCACAACTCAACTTGTGTCTAAAATTGCTGCGGTGAGCGGCGCAGGGAAGAGAGCGCCGGCACACACACGCAGCCACCTACCGCCCCAACCAACCTCCATGGAACGCCCCCCCCTCAGCCTATCCCCCATCATCCTGTCGCAGGCACCTGGCAGCAACTCCGAACGTTCCTGGGCGCGGAAGGCCATCCGGCCCCCATCGGCAGTCCGCGGGCGCTCGGGGGGCCATGCGCCCACCCCCGGAGCCGCTCCCCCCCGGACCCAGAAATCAAACCACTTTGAAGGGGCCCCAAGACACACACATAAATACACACAAACAAAAATATTCCCCATATTTTCCAAATATTTCCTGGGTTTCTGTCTTCCCCCCCCACTTCCCATCTTTTCCCATATTTTCCTGGGAATCGACGATTAATTGTGTCCGTGTGTTTTTTCCTCTCCTGACACTTGATGTTCTCAGTACGGAGTCCCCAGGAGTCCCGGCCCTTTCCCCATGGCCAGCCTACATCGCGAGCACTTGCTGGACGGCCCTGGGGCCCGGCAGGGGCCGCAAAGAGGTCGACAACGACACAAAAAAAAATCGCCGCCTTGGTTGTTCCAAGACGTTGGACGTCTGGGTCCACACCCCCTTGCCCCGCTACTGAGTCCCCTGCAGTTTTCGAGCCACGACACTGGTCTCCGCGCAGCTGCTGGAGAGCATCCCGAAGCTTGAAAACCACCGAGAGCCAGCGAACAGATCCGCCGCGGGGGGATCTACGATAAATGACATCGAAACAGACTTGTGTTTTTCGGACGTTTGCGAGTAGGCACTCTGCGAGTAGTGGAGCGCGCTCGGTGAATACTTGGTTGACCGAAGAACATGCCGGGGCCCGGAAAAATTGCTCACCCGCCCAAAAAACGGCTTCGGCCCCGACCACAGCAAAAACCATGTCCCGGATGCAGGGTCGGCCCCAAAAGGTTTTTTCGGGCCCCACAGCTTGTTCGGGCCGAAAGGAAAATGGGCCCCAGCTCCCAGCTGCCGCTTCCGTTCGCGGGTGCGCTGACCCAGGTCAGCCAGGGTCAGGTCGGGCCTGTCCCCCGACAGGGGGATTTTGGACGATAATTTTCTTTACGAACAAAGAAAACCCAAAAGATGCCCAAAAAATACTCAAAAAATGGCCCCCCAACTCCTTTGTAACTATTTTTGAAGATTCCCCCTGTAGAGGGACAGGCCCGACTTCAAGCCAGGGCCACGTCGCGAGCCCGGGCCCGCCACGAAGCAGCTCACAAGCCCGGCCCCGAGGAGGGCGGGCGGGAGGGCGCGGCCAGCTCCAGGTGGTTCCCAAACACGGGTCAGCTGGAGGATCTCGGCGGAGACTGGCCAGGTCGGGCAGTTCCCCCTACAAGCAGATTCTGGGCGAAAAATTACGAATGCTCCAAAAATACCCCTGAAGAGCCAAAGAATACGCAAAAAACGTCCGCTGACGATTTCTTGACTATTTTTGAACATTCCTCCTGTAGAGAGACAGGCCCGACTTAACGCTAGCGCTGACTAGGCGGCGCGCCTGGGGGGGAAGTGAGAACGGGCGGGCCTGCTCAGAAGGCTCGGAAGCTCGGCGGCCTTCTGAGAAGGTTCCTGAGCCTCTGCCGAAGTCGCAGAAAACTTCTCAGAAGGCCGGGTGACTTCTGAGAAGTTCTGCCACCTTCTGAGAAGGCCTCCTCCTCCTCCTCCTCCTCCTCCTCCTCCTCCTCCTCCTCCTCCTCCTCCTCCTCCTCCTCCTCTTCCTCCTCCTCCTCCTCTTCACTTCACACCCTCGCTCGCCGCCGGCTGTAGAGGAACACAAAAAGGCATAAACATAAACTGTTGATGATCCGCGCGGATTTCTTGGATCCGCGCTGGACCCCCTACCTGGCGCGCGGAGCGCGCCAGGGGCGGCGCCTCACCAGGGGGGTGCCAACGCCGATCCGAAAAATCCGCGCGGCGCGCCGAAAAATAATTTGCGTGACGCTTTTTCTTCTTCGACTAGACGAGCGCGTTCCACTACTCGCAAAGTGACTACTCGCAAATAGCCTGGATCCGCCGCGAGGGATCTATAATAAATTACATCGAAACAACCACGTGTTTTTCCGACGTTTGCGAGTAGGCACTGTGCGAGTAGTGGAACGCGCTCGGTGATCAACCGCTTCGTCCGCCCCGCCCCTCCTCCGGGCGAGCGCTTGCCGGACCTCACCTTGCGCCAGGTCGCCAGCTTCTTTCCCAGCGCGGACGCGGCGGCGCCAGACACGCCGCCCTCCTCGGGAGGCGGGGGGAGGAGGAGGAAGAGGAGGAAGAGAGGGAGACAGAAGAGGAGGAGGAGGAGGAGGAAAAGGAGGCAAAAGAGGAGGAGGGAGGCGGAAGAGGAAGGAAGAGGGAGGACGAGAGCTGAGGAGGAGGGAGGGGAAGGAAGAGAGAGAAAAGGAAATGGGAGGACGAAGCGACGCACCAGGCGCACGAATAGTGAGAAGATCCCGCCTCAACGCGCCGCAACGCTGAAGGACTGGACCAAAGCCGCATGATCGAGTACAGGGCTTACGTCAACAGCATCACAGATGTTATTGCGCAGTTGCGCCTCACCATGGACACGGCGGACCAACACGAGTACGGCAGGGGATCATACGACATCCTGTACCGCACCATTGACTACGAGAGGACCATGCGCCGCTGGGCTTACCAGAACGAGCCCAACAGAAGCCCAGCTGTGGACACGGGGTCCAGCGAAGGCAACTATGACCACCGTCTCTAAACCCACCGATTCGACTCAACCCACCGACGTTGCCACCACCCTCCGCGCCTCCCATCCAGGGGTGTGCGGCTACCGAACGCAAGGAAAAACTACACCCGCAGCAACGACCCCAGCACAGCTCGGCAACTGCGAATCTTTGCCTTCTGCTGCCCGCTGGGCCCGTGGCCTGGGCCACCCTCACCGCGAGGGGCAACAACGCCAACACCACCACCCCCAGCTGATGGGCCTGTTTTCCGCCACCACCACCATAAGTTGGAGGGGGAAGGAAGAGGACGAGGAGGAGGAGGAGGAGGAGGAGGAGGAGGAGGAGGAGGAGGAGGAGGAGGAGGAGGACGACCCCCTCCCCCTCCAGCTTATGGTGGTGGTGGTGGAAAACAGGCCCATGACCAGCGTCGAACCTCGCACGCTGCAGCCGCCCTCGCGGGGCGCAGCCCCCCCATGCGTCCACCAGCTCCGCACCACGACTGCACAACCACTGCTCGGCTGGCTCCTACCTCTCCCGCTACTCTCCTTCCCAAACCGCACCTTGTTAGGGGGCAACTGACTGGGAGGTTTCCGCCTGAAAGATTAAGAAGGATGAAACCCCATTTGGAAGCTGTTACGCCGGAGTGGGCCCCGGATTAAGCGGGATTCAGCCGGATTAAGCGGGATGGAGCAGGATCAAGCCGGATTCAGCGGGATCTATCTGGATTGAACCGGATTTCGGACCAGGGCGAAAACAGAATTTGACCTCCCAGGAGTTGCACCCGAAATCTTGCCTGCGCACCCGCTGCCACGACGGCAGCAGCAGCAGCAGCCGACGCGAGGTGGCCCCGCAGCACCTGCGCGCAAGCACCGCCACTCTGAGTGGCACGCGCGGAGAGTCCCACGCCACCCACCTTGCGCGTACTTCTGCCTCTGCCATGCCTCGTGCTCTTTTTTTGAGCTCCACGCTCTGTCCGCCACGTTTAGCCAGGCACCCTACGGCGAGGGAGAGAGAGCCTGCAAGCGGAAAAAGGTCCGCCACGGAGCCTCGTCGTCACCCACTCAGCACTACGCCTCTATCCACCTCTTTGCGTCTCACGAGCTCGAGGCACCTTAGCTGCCCCAGTGACCTTGCCTGCCACGTGCACTCTGGCCACGACCTCCTCTGGGGAACCTCAAGCCCCAACCAACCTACACCTCCCTCTCCTCCTCTTGCCCCACAGCCCCGTCTCCCCCCCGCCTTTCGCCCACTAGCCTTGGGTCGGGCGTGTCCTCCTACAGGCGGATTTTGGACGAAAATTACACTGAATCAACAAATACCCGAAATAGTCAGAAAAAATCAGAAACATCGCCCCCAGACTATTTGTTCACCAACAGGCCCGACTTCACACCAGCCTCATCCACCTCGCCCCACCGCTGCCGCTGGGGACGCGCGGCGGGCGGGGAGCGCGGAGCACGGGGAGGGAGGGGGAAAAGCGAAGGGGCCGCCGGTAGCACGCGACCTCCCCTGCACGCAGGCAGGGGGCGGGCCGTGGACCCCCTTCGACCCCCCTTGGGTACGGGAGCCGAGCCGACAGAGCCGCCGCCCCCCCTGCTCGGGGAGTGACGGCCCCGCTCGGGCCGCACCCGCCTCCTCGCCCCTTCCTCTGCTGCCACCCCCTCTGCACTCTCCCTCCTCCTCCACGGCACGCCCAGCCGCCGCCGTGTTCCGACCACCGCGCCCCTTCGCGCCCTGCCTGCCCCCCTCCCGCACCGCCCCTTTCCGCTGCGACCGCCGCGCCACACCTGGAAGCACCGCGCCCTTCCCCGCCGGCCTCGGACCTCTGGCGGGACCGCAGGAGGGCCCCCTACTCGAGAGGGGCACGCCGAGGTGGGCCTCAACTCCCCCTACGGGGGGCTGGGGCCCTCGCTCGGGCAGGCCCCGCCCCCGCACTGCGGTGCGTACAGGCGCCACCAGCCTCACCCCACCTCCTCCCCCCATCGCTCCTTCGATCGTGATCGCTCGTCTCTCCTGCTCGTCCCTCTTCGCCTCGTGTTTTGGCTCCGCCCCTTCCCCCGGCGCTGCCGGCAGAGAGGGGCTTCAAGGGCTTCGACAGCTTCGGCGACACAGTCCGCAGCTTCGAGCTTCGAGGAAGGGAGGAGGAGGAGGAGGAGGAGGAGGAGGAGGAGGAGGAGGAGCAGGAGCAGGAGCAGGAGCAGGAGCAGGAGCAGGAGCAGGAGGAGCAGGAGGAGCACGAGGATGGAGGATGGAGGATGGAGAATGGAGAATGGAGGAGGAGGAGGAGGACGACGACGAGGAGGAAGGAGGAGGAGGAGGGAAGGAGGAGGAGGAGGCAGGAGACAGGAAACAGAAGAGGATGAGGAGGGAGGCGGAAAAGGGAGAAAGAGGGATGAGGAGGAGGGAGAAGGATGAAGAGGGAGGAGGAGGAGGGAGAGGGAGGAGGGAAGGAGGGAGGGAGGGAGGGAGGGAGGGAGGGAGGGAGGGAGGAGGAGGAGGAGGAGGAGCAGGAGCAGGAGCAGGAGGAGAAGGGTTGCTGTGGAGCGACATAACAGCAGGGAAAACCACTGAAACAAATCTCCCTCGCCCTCAGAATCGAAAGGGAAATTCCCAAGGTCATGAGGGCCCTTTCTGGAGGGTGCGGGCGGAGGGAGGACCCGAACTGTCGTCGGGTCCCCTCTCGGCCTCGCTGAGACCTCGGCGGCTACTCAAGTCAAGGTTCTTGGTGGCAGCCCGACCTTGGGGGTGCTTGCCAGCTCTGATACGCTTCCGCTGAGACTTCACCTGGGGCGATCTAAGGTGCCCCATCGCGGTCCTCCAAAAATAGCTGGCTTGGCCTAAACCCCTCACAGTGGGCACCGCACCGCACACAGTCAGGCCACGCCTGCTCTCTACAGAGACTCGATCTCACAGCGCGTCAAGGCATGACCGTTCAAATAGAAGGCCGATGTGACCACGTCGGCCCAGTCCAATCCCCACCACCCGTCAGCCCCAAACCAGTCGCCACCACACTCCCATCATCCTCACGAGCCCGTGGCTCAAGATCAGGCTCGGGCGGCGGCAAGTCGATAAAAATGGCCACAAACTGTGCTTATCCAACCGTGTCCAGCCTGGTCTTATCAATCGATGGCAAGTGCACTTCGAGCTGCGCAGCCGAACGGGCCGCCACTGTACAACTTCACATCAGCCTCCGAAGCAGCAGGCTTAGAAGCCCCCCACCTTGGCGCACATGCAGCCCCGTCGGCGCCATCGCACACTGCGCGAGCACGGACACAGCACAGTCCCCACCGTCTTTGGCCCCGCCTGGGACCGTGGAGGAAAAGGACAGGGCCGCAGCAGGCTGCCTCGACCTGCCCTGATCGGCTACACGCAAGAGTGACCCAGGGTAAGAGTGACCTTTGGTGCGCGGCTTTGGGGGGGCCGCGGGGGGACCAAACCTGGGCGCGCAAGCTGCTGCTCCTGCTTCGTTTTCAGCCATCTGGGGGCCCATCTGTGCCCGCACCAAAGGTCACTCCGGCGAAAGGTCACTCTTACGTCTAGTTGAACTGAGTTGTCGACCTGAGCAAGGGCCCACCCCGCCCTGGACAGCTCTGGGACACCAGGCCAAAGTTGGAGGCTTGAAAATGGGCACCAACACCAACACAGGGGGGGGTGCCTCCACCTGGAAAAGATGATCCCAGCTTTTGGTGCTGGTGGTAATCCTTCGGCCACCTAGGAAGCCCGAACATTACCACCATCACCGAGATCGGGATCGCCATCCCTCGGTGGAAGCACACCGCCGACATTGGTGTTGATGTCAGACTCCAGGCCTGCGACAAAGGGAGGACCTGTCCGAAAAGATCGGCCCCGTGAGGCAGCCTGTCGAAGGCCGAGCAGTCCAAAAAACCATCCGCTCAGGCTCCTCGACTGGCGCAAAGACGAGCGGAGAAGGCAACTACTCTACTTGGCACGGGTCGCATGGAAAAAGAAGACAGGGAGGAAGAGGAGGGAGGAGGGGGAGGAGGAGGAGGAGGAGGGAGGAGGAGGAGGAGGAGGAGGAGGAGGAGGAGGAGGAGGAGGAGGAGGAGGAGGAGGAGGAGGAGGGGAGAGGGCGGAGGAGGAAGAGGAGGAGAAAGAGGAGGAGGACGGCGACAAAGAAGATGACGAGGACAGGGATGACGGCGCAGAAAACGGGCACAAGGCGGAGACCGGCGCCGACGACGACGACGACGACGACGACGACGACGACGACGACAACGCCGACAGGGACCACGAGGACGAGGACAAGGACGAGGACGAGGAGGACGAGGACGAGGAGGACGAGGATGCTTGGGAGCCGACCGCATCTGGAGGCCCCGCCGATGCATCGGCGCCGTCGGGATGGAGACAGTCGGGCGTTGGCAGAACTGAGTTTAGTGGGACCTGGTTTAGTGCTGTGTACTGGGGGGCGCCCCCCAGGCCCCGTTCCACCAACCGGAACTGCCGTCACCCGACCAACACCAGCTACGGCAGAGCTGGTTTCGTGATTCTGACAAATTGAAGAGCTCTGGGGCCCTACTACCAACCAGGTCCCCTCACCTGGGGTCCTGGCTATACCCGAGCCAGTCGGGAACCAATCTCGCATTCCGCGCGCACGCGGATGCGGTTCCATGGAGAAAGACGTGAAGGAGAAGAAGGAGTGAGGACGAGGAGGAGATGAGGAGGCCGAAGAGAAGGGGGAGGAGGAGAAGACGCAGGCGGAGAAGGAGGGGGAGAAGGAAGAGGGGGATGACGAGCAGGAGGGGGAAGGATGGCGCCGCATCGCCGGTGCATCGGCGGTGCGGTGGGATCCTCCGACACCATCTGGTAAGCTCGGGATGGGAGCGGCCGGCCCCGGGCTCGGGAGGCCAGCCACGGGGGCCCGTCGGGGCAGCGGGCACTCCACAGCTCACTGAGTACCCTTAGGTCGAGCATGTCCCCCTACAGGCGGATTTCTTAGGAAGATTCAAAAAAAAATAACCAACAAATATCCAAAAATCATCGAACAAAATGCTCGAAAAATCGTCCCCCGACTGTTTTTTTTATTATTTTTGAAGATTCCTCCTGTAGGGGGACATGCCCGAGTCAACACTACCCTGATGGGCTCTTCGACAGGCGCAGACGCGCAGACGTATCGAGCCAAGGTGGGGACACGAAGAGGGACCCGGAACCCCCTCGTGTGGTGGAAAAAACCGCGGGAAGGCGCGGGTCGAAGCTTGGCCTCGGGGGACCCTCATCGGACCCCGTGACTGACAAGAGACGGCTCGGAATACAACCTGGGCCCGGGGAGGGCGTCGAGACCTCCGTGCGTCCACGCTGCAAAACAATCAAGACGCTGCGGGTCTGGGGAGGCAGGAGGGGGGAGGGGGGAGGAGGCATGGGAAGCGGGGCGGGAGGAGGGGGGGGGGCAGCACGAGCTCGGAAACCCGCAGCGCGCACCTCCACAGCGTGCTGCTGGCCCGGCGCGGCATGGGCGCCGAAGCTCGCCCCAAGGATGGCCCGGCAGCCCGAGGCGGCCTCCGAGCCCTTCGCCTCTGCCACGCCCGCCGGGCCGAGGCCCTGCTGGGTCGACACGCAGAGGCCCCCGGCCAGCCCCGCACGCCCTGCACGCCGCGGCCGCCGGGCCCAGCCCCCAGCGTGCGCCAAAGGCTCCCTGGGCATCCCGCCGCGCGCCTCCGGCGAGCGGCGGCCGCACGCCGCGGCCGCCAGGCCCAGAGGCGTGCCGGCGTCCCGCCTCGCGTTCTCGGGTGGGGGTCGCTGGAACCTCCTCCTCCTCCTCCTCCTCCTCCTCCTCCTCCTCCTCCTCCTCCTCCTCCTCCTCCTCCTCCTCCTCCTCCCGCTCCTCCTCTGCCTCCTCCTCTCCTCCTCCTCCCCCTCCCCCTCCCTCATCCTCCTCCTCTCCTCCTCTCCTCTCTCCTCCTCCTCCTCCCCCTCCCTCCTCCTCCTCCTCCCCCTCCTCCCTCCTCTCCAGGATGGGACAGATCTCGTCGCACGACAGCCAGGCGACACGCAGGCGCGACGCGTGCGCCATCCTCGGCCGCACAGCGACGGCGCGCCCGCGCAGCGCCGTGGCCGAGCGTGGAGGCGGGTGGCGCGACGGCGCAGCTGTGAGCAGTGGGGAGGCCAGAGGCGGAGACAGGGAGAAAGAGAAGGTACGAGAAGACAGGAGAGACGAGAAGAGGAGGTAGAACAAGAGGATGGCATGAGAGAGGAGGAGAGATATGTGGACAGAAAGAATGAGAGCGATCTGGAGACGGAATACATAGAGATATAGAAAGAGAGCAAAACATATGCCGAGAGCGAAAAGGAGATAGAGACGGAGAAGGGAGAGAGAGAGAGAGAGCGAGAGCGACGGAGAGAGAGGGGGGGGGGGGAAATAGTGAGGAAAAGAAAGAGAGGGAGAGAGAGAGTGAGATGAAGAGAGAGAGAGAGAGGGAGTGAGAGAGGCGTCGAGAAAGATGGACAGAGAGGTGGACGGAGAGAGGGAGGGAGAGATGTACAGAGAAAGAGGGGGGGAGATACAGAGAGAGAGGGAGAGGGAGAGAGAGAAAGAGATAGGAAGGAAGGGAGAGAGAAAGAGAGAGAGAGAGAGAGACGGAGAGAGAGAGAGAGGGGGAGCGAATGAGGAGACGAAGGCAGAGAAATGCGTAAGGAAAGGGGCTCGAAGCGGGTCCTCTGCAGCAAGGCTGGCCCGCCGTTGCCCGGTGTTCCTGTGCAGGACCACCAGCGGGTGCTTCAGAGCGTTCTTCAGCGGCAACCGCGCGTCCTCCCCTCCGGCTTCTTCTTCCCTTTCACGAGACTCAGGAAGCCTAGATCTCAGCTTCTGGTGCCCTGAATCAATCGGATATGAACAAACTGGATAAGCACAAACTTTCGGAGATCCGCGCTGATTCCGTGGATCTGCGCTGAGTCCCCCTGGCGGCGCCTCCAGCGCCGCCCCTGGAGCTCTCAACACCGATCCAAGAAATCCGCGTAAAACTCCAAAAGTTAATCCCAACAGCCCTCTGGGCGTATGTCGTCTAGGGAGGCTCCTCTTCCAACCCCCTTTTTCCCTTTCGTGGAGGGGTGTACCCCTCCCCTTCCCCCCCCCCCTGGACCTGGACGGGCGGTGCCGCGACCCATATGGAGCGTCCAGAACGGCCTCGGCGAGGAAGCCAAAATCATTGGTTTTACAACAGGTTTTGACCCCATTTTGGCCTCTTGGGGGGGCGAGGCTAATTGTCACCCCCCTTGCCTCTTTGATCGATTGATCGATGGCCTCCAAGATGGCCCCAAGACCAAGACGGCACCAAGATGGCCCCAAAAGACCCCCAGGAGGCCCCGAAAAGCGGCCCAAAGAGGCCCCCCCGGAGGCACCCAAGACGCCCAAGATCCACCCGGAAAGACCCATAAGACGTCCCAACAGGCCTCCAAGAAACGCCCCAGAGATATCCCAAGAGGCTCCGAGAGGCATCCAGGAGACCTCTGGCCCTTTTGCTTGCCCTCCTCCTGCCCCATCCTGTCTGATCATATGTTTTATTCCTCCTCCTCCTCCTCCTCTTCTTCCTCCTCCTCCTCCTCCTCCTCCTGCTCCTCCTCCTCGTCCTCCTCCTCCTCCTCTTCCTCCTCCTCCTCTTCCTCATCCTCTTCCTCCTCCTCGTCCTCCTCCTCCCCCTCCTCTTTTTCCTCCTCCTCCTCCTCTTCCTCCTCCTCCTCTTCTTATTATTAGTATTCTTCTTAGTATTATTATTCTTATTATTCTTCTTCTTATTATTATTATTATTCTTCTTATTATTCTTATTATTATTATTATTATGCTTCTTATTATTATTCTTATTATTATTCTTATTATTATTCTTCTTATTATTATTATTCTTATGATTATTATTAGTCTTCTTCTTATTCGTATTATTATTCGTATTCTTCTTCTTATTATTATTATCATTCGTATTATTATTATTCTTCTTCTCCTTCTTATTAGTATTACTAGTATTATTATTATTAGTATTCTTATTATTATTATTATTATCATTATTATTATCCTTATTATTATTCTTATTATTCTTCTTCTTAACATTATTATTATTATTATTAATCTTCTTATGCTTTCTTATTATTATCATTATTAGTATTAGTATTCTTATTCTTCTTCTTGTTATTATTATATTATTATATTATTAGTATTACTATTAGTAGTAGTAGTATTATTACTAGTATTATTATTGTTGTTATTATTGTTGTTATTAGTATTATCATTATTACTATTACTGGTATTATTATCATCATTATTATGGTTATTACTATTATTAGTATTACTACTATTATTATTTTTAGTAGTATTATTACTATTCTTATTAGTATTAGTATTATTGATATTATTAGTATTAGTAGTCTTTTTATTATTCGTATTATTCGTATTCTTATTACTATTCGTATTCTTATTAGTATTATCATCCTCCTCCTCCTCCTTATTCGTATTCTTTTTACTACTATTATTCGCCTTCTTTTTCTTACTATTAGTATTCTTGTTATTCTTATGATTATAATTATTAGTATTATTCTTATTCTTACTAATATTATTAGTCTTATTATGCGTTTTCTTCTTATGATTCTTAACATTTTTAATTATTATTACTATTATTATTAGTATTCGTCTTAGCGTTCTTCTTCTTATTATTCTTCGTATGTTTCTTCTTATTCGTCTGCTTCTTCATATTATTTTTCCTCGTCCTCGTCCTCCTCCTCCTCCTCCTCCAACTCCTCCTCCTCCTCCTCCTCCTCCTCTCCTCCGCCTCCTCTCCCTCCTCCTCCTCCTCCTCCTCCTCCTCCTCCTCCTCCCTTTTTCCTCCTCCTCTTCCTCACCCTCGTCATCATCAACATCCTCATCATCATCAGCAGCATCATCATCACCATCATCATCATCACCAGCATCATCATCATCAGCATCATCACCATCATCATCATCATCATCATCATCATCATCATTATCATCATCATCTTCATCGGCATCACCATCATCATCCGTATAATCTTTCTCAGCATCACCAGCAGCACCATCATCATCATCAACAACATCATCATGAACATCATCATCAGCATCATCAACAACATCGTCCCATTCGTACTCGTTCTCCCCATTTCCATCCATCCATCCAGCGTCCGTTTCCTCCTCCTCCTCCTCCCTCCTTCGCAGGGTTCTGCCGTCCACCTATTTGTTCCCACAGCTCCCTGATCACATCAACTCGCCTAGACATCGTTTCTGGATGGCTTCATGGGGATTATTGTTTTGGTTCGCGGGCGCAAGAAGCGACTCGGACGCCGAGCAAGCACGGGCAGGCTGTGCCACCTGCGAAAGCAATACAGAGCAGAGAGCAGCCTGGTGCAAGGCGGAGCACTCAATGCGGGCTGGCGGGGATACGTTTTTTGGTTCGCGGGCGCGCAACACGAGTCGAACGCCGAGCGCGCTAGGGCAGGCCGCGCCCGTAGCAAAGCAAAAAACAGCGCAAGCGGCAGCGCGCGGAAGAGTACAGCAGTACCAACCAGCCAGCGGCCAGCTGCCGAAGAGCGCGCCGACGGCGAAAGGCACGTGAGCACGGCCGCAAACCTGTCGAACAAGAAACACTTGAAGCGCCCCGAGAGCACTTAGGAGACGACGAGTAGGGCAGAGGAGACGAATGGAGGTGGACCGCCACGACGAACGAGGACACCGCGGAGCCAACGTGGAAGACGCAGCCACAATGGCGCGGACAAGGCCCACAAGCGGCCGTAGTGCAGTTTGCGGTGTCGCGCAGGCCCCCATGAAGTAGTACGGACGACGAATTCTGGTTAAGCGGACGCGAGCATGAAGGATGTACCCGCGCCTGGCGGCAACAGTCATCCAAGTAGACGTGACCAGCGCATCCTGGAGCCAACCGACAACCGACACTTCGGGTGGCCGTCAACCGACACCGTGAGCCCCGCGAGCACGAACCAGAAGACAAAGCTGATCGGCACGAAAGGACCGTGCAAGTGAGGACGCCCACCAGCTGGAAGGAACCCAGCGCGTACCCGATGCCACGGAGAAACCTTGTCATACAGGTAGGACTTCAAATGGCCGTGGACCGACACATTGCGCTTCACGTGCGCCAACCCGAAGACAAAAATGCCCGGCACGAGAGGACCGTGCAAGTGAGCGCCGCCCATCGGACAGCCCGAGGAAGCCATGCGAGGCCGGCGCCCGCAAGTGCCTGTCAGGGGGACCGTGTCGCCTTGGGCGCAGCGGGCCACTGGCAGGGGTGGGGCCAGCGCGTCCAGACAACCAACATGATCCCTTGCGGCCATCACGTGGTGGGGCGGACGGGAGCGAAGCCCCGGGGGAGCTGGTGCCAAACCAGCAGGACCAACCCTAAAGAGGTTCATAGGAGGCAGCTGATCGCTGCAAGCACTCGAAAGGCCTCGGCAAAGGAATACCCGCGGTAAGCAGCTGATCGCTGCAAGCATTCGAAAAGCCTCGGCAGAGGAATTACCCGCGGTAAGCAGCTGATCGCTGCAAGCATTCGAAAAGCCTCGGCAGAGGAATACCCGTGGTAAGCAGCTGATCGCTGCAAGCAGTCGTGGGGCCTCCGAAGAGGAATGCCCAAAGCATGAAACGCATCGACTGAATGGATGACCTCGGCAGAGAGATACCCAAGGCAACGTGAACGTTGAACGCACCAGGGCGGGGCAAGGGGGGGGGAGGGGAGGGCAAGCAGCTGATCGCTGCAAGCACAAGAAAAGAAACCTCCCGAGGCGGTGTGCGAGGTGGGAGGTGCGCTGGGAATGGTGGAAAGAGGTTACGGTGTCGCTTGTCCGTAGCTGGTTCGCCCCAGCCGTGGCTGCACTTGCCCTGCTTACCGCTTCGTACCACGGAGGCGTCGCGGTCTAGCCTTTTGCCTGGGCGCCCGGCATTGCCCCGATCGTCCGCCGCGGGGTCATTGCGCGGGGTGTCGAAGACGATCTAAAGTCTGTGCCGCTGGTCGAAAGAGCGTGCGTCGTTGCCGTTCTGTCGCCAGGCGGTCAGGAGATCGTCGCAGGCGGCCTGGGATTGCAGTCGCGGCGGGTCCATTGGGACGAGCCCAGGCCTAGTTGATTTGGACGCGATCCAACTGTGCCAGACCCTGTTGAATGAAGGCCGGGTTGCTCTCAGCCGCACCTTGTGCCTCAACCAAGTGTGTGGACATCTTGTACATCTGGTCGCCGTCGTGAGTGCGGCAGCCGGTTGGCGTGAGGGGGTTGGCGGCGACGTCGGGCCAGACTCCTCGTACCCACATGCCAACGGCTTGGTTGCTGGGAGTCGTGCGTGAAACGTGGCCCTGCCCCTGGGGTCTGTAGTCCCACGACCTATAGCCTGCCCAGTTCGATCCGTATGCGCGCCCGTCGTCATGGGCTTTCCAACTGGAGTCGTAGCTGGTCCACCTGATGATGTTGGGACTCCACGCGCGGTCCGTGTGCCGCTTGGCACGGTGGTAGGGGTTCCATCTTTTGTCGCGCCCCTTCCCGTGTCCCTCTGTGCGCGCCCAAGGTCTCCTACTCCTGGGCTGGGTTACTGCTGCCGTCTGTTTCGCCCAAGAATCGGGGGGCACTAACGGCTTCCGTGTGCCAGCGGTGTCGTGGTCGTGCCGGGTGTCCCGTGTCCCACCTTGGCCCAGGGAAACGTCGCTGTCACTGCTGGCCGGCGGGTGGGGGCACTTTTTGTCGGCAGCCGCGAGCGAGAGCGCAACAGCGGCGTGTCAAAATCCAGGCGGGCCGCGCGAGGAGCTAATCAGCCAGGC